GACATCGTTCCAGCCCATCTGAAGAATATACATACAAAAATATTAATATAGAAGGTTGCATTCACCCCAATCTTTATTGCAAGGTCATTTACGCAGCTGTAGTACTGAAGCAACAAAAGAGCCTGTTTAGATGATGGATACAGATGTGGTATGTTTTTACAGTGGAATACTACTAAGCTACAGATAAAAGATGAAATTGCCATTGGAAGGAATTTGAGAGAATTATAAGAGTGACATTAAGTCAAAAGCAAAAAGACAGATTATTTTATTTATTTATTCAATATAACATTATAAAACTGATGAAAATACAAGACCAAATAAAGAAAAGCAAGTGTACACTGATAATAAGAGTAGCTGAGAAGGGGGTGTGGGAGAAATAAATATATAAATATATATACTTCATCAGTATACATATTTTAAAAGCTATTTGGGACATGTGATCAGCCATATTGGCAACTGAATTGAAAAGAAAAAATTTGATTATTCTTCCAAAATGGGATATCCGATCCTTATGTCATCTCTACAATATATTTTTTGTTTAAAAAGATAATATTTATTTACTTATTGCCCTAACAAATAACTATGAAGAACTTGTGGGTAAGGTCCTGTAGCTATCAATGGTACACCTATAAGTTAGGAGACTGTTCATCTATTAGAGAAGAAAGAATAGGATCATCAGAAAGAAACCACAAACATAAGAAGTCATTACATTAAGAGAAATTTTTACATCCCCACATAAATAAATAAATAATGTAGTTAAGTAATTACTTGAATAAAGTTATTTAACGCAATATCACAAAGTTGATATATTTATGCATACAGTAATGGAAAGGAGTGATACTGAATTTTCTACATCCTGTGTGTTACCAAATCAGAGATTAGGTGGGAACAGTGTCTATTACACAGTAATCAATACTGTCATAATAATGACTTGTTTATAATTCACATCCCAGATTTGGCATTATGTAAACAAAGGTATGCAGTTCTTATTATTTTTCTTAGGTCCAAGCAAACTACAAACCAATGTGGTTTTTTGTTTTTTTTTGCTTTTTGGGTCACTCCTGGCGATGCTCAGGGGTTACTCCTGGCTTTGTACTCAGGAATTACTCCTGGCGGTGCTCAGGGGACCATATGGGATGCTGGAATTGAACCCAGGTCAGCCGCATGCAAGGCAAATGCCCTACCCACTGTGCTATCACTCCAGCCCCCCAATGTCTTTTCAAAAGAGGTGTCTGTGTTTTTTTTTTATCTTGATAAAAAATCAAAATGAAGTGCCAACACATCTGTATACACTTAACAGGAGCAGAAGTCCTCCAAACAGAAAAGCCTATTCCAAAGAAATATTCAACAATAATAATAAGTGATAACCAGTTAATAGCTTGTGAATAATCACAGCTGTGTATGAAGACCTAGTTGGAGTTTTGTTAATCCCAAAGACAATATTAAAGCATCAAACATGTGATTTTGTGTTTCTGACTATAGTAAATATTCAATTAAAATGAGTGGAAGCATAAAACCAACTTCTCTCAGAAAGAGAATTAATAAAATGAAAATGAAATGAAAGTATAATAAAATGAAAGTAGGGTATGGACACAGAATATCTGAAAAAGTTACAATTACTTTCTGAATTATATCACATCTACATGGCCTTTGGGATTATGTGCTGTTTATATAAGACCAATATAACTCTACCAGGAAAAAGACAACAAATTAGTGTTACTATTCAGAGTGATGAAATTAGAGATACATAGCAAATGCTCCCTAGATATTGGTGATTGAATTAAGTAACAAACCAGATTCAAGTGGTCTTGTATGGCTACTATTACTATTTTAAATATCTTTCAGTATTCTAACACACACACACACATCAGTCTCATCATAATTTTTTCAGTGACCTTCTAATAATAGTCATTGCATAATAATGGCCTATAATTTTATATTTAATAGTAATAGGCTAAAATTCACAATATTTATATACATTGCAAAATAATGGCCTACACACACCAGTGCATTTCAAAACCTTTCCTTCTTTAAGAACTAGGTCTTTGAATAGACAAATGCCTAACATCTAGCCTAACTATCCAAGAGTTTTCAGATACAGGAACTTGTAACTGCATGTCAATACTTACAAACTACCAGGATAGAGGAGACAGATTAAGTACACAGTGTCCAGGTCACAACAGCCGCGACAAGCCACGAACTGAGCTCAGCAATAATGATGCTTTTCTTTCCCACTTAGTTGGAAATTAATTTTCAGGTCAATTTTGATGCGTTATTAACACAGCCCTCTTATTACACTGTTTAATTTACACATATTACTGAACTCTTATGTGCCAGGTTTTGCATGAGAGAGGCACATTGCAGATATAAGTGATTATGAGCGTCAACCCTGGTTTGTTCATCTAAATCCAATGGGGTTTAGATGAATAGCCAGAGAAATGATTATGTGCCAGGACACTTTTAGTATGTACTAAGGTGAAAATAATTCTAAGTAGCTAAGAGTTTTTCTTCTGTTGGAAAAGGGGAGGGAACCAGGGATCAGCTCCAGTGGGAAAGTGCCTGCCAGGGCTGCCAGCTCTTGCCTTTTGAGCTCCCCAGCCAACAGGAATGTGTGATCCTCCAAGAAAGTGTGCAACCAAGAGTGTGTGAGCACAACAGCTAAAGTTTGTGACTCTCCAGGAAACCCCACAATGACCTGTGTAGTCCCAGAAAAGCCAAGCAACCAAGGAGCATGAGCACCAAGTATGTGTGATTCCTACTCTTGGTGAGAAAAAAAGGAAGAGAAAGGGAATAAAATAAATAAAAGAATACTTTTTAAAAGGGAGGGATAGACAGGAGTAAGTTTTGTACTTAGCACCTAGTAGCTTCAAGAACCCAATAAGATCCACTGACTAGTGAAGGAATAAAAAATTAAAAACAGCTGCACACTGAGGTTAAGTATTAAAAGATAATCACCATAGTGCAGCGAGTAGGGCACTTGCCTCGCACGTGGCCGACTTGCCATCCCATATGGTCCCTGAGCACCACAGGAATGATTCTCTGAGTGTAGAGCCAGAAGAAACTCCTGAGCATCACTGGATATGACCCCAAAAAAACCTCTTTTAAAAATAGAAGCACATTACTTTAAAAAAAAAAGATTTTAAAAGATGGGCTTTTACTCATTTATTTGACTTGCAATTTAGCTTCCGATAAGCCACAAGGAAAAGTTTTATGAGAATTTTAGTATGAATGAACTTTCCTCACTCCCTGGAGAGACAAGAATGCTCCTCCCTAGCAAGTAACAGAAAAAAAACATGACACACTGGAAGAATAAAGAATAGACGTCTGCGTGCTTCTCACTGCTCTGTGCTCCTATGCCTGTGTTCTCGGTCTCCCAGAGTTGAAAAAGAAGTCTACTGGAAGTTTCTCTTTAACCCTGTCCTTTCTGCTGGGCAGTCTCATTTCTGCCCTTTCCCCTCCCGTGGAGGTGGGCAGACTTCCTAGCAGAGCTCAGACCTAGTTCCTTCTCTGATTTTGGAGCGAGTCAACTGCATTCCTGCTGTGACCTCCTCTATAAACTACTTCATCGGAAGGTACAAAGTATAAAAACAAGAGCTTGGATTAACAAAGACGCAAAAGTGGCTCAGTACAAATCAGGCTGAGTCTAGAGAATTACATGCTCTGCACAGGTAAAATGCTGTGCTAAAGGCTAAAACATCATTCTGGTGTGCCACCTCCACTACAAACACCCAGCTCTGTAAGGCGCCGAAGCTATACTCACATGTAATTTGGCCATTGATACTAATGGTTGTTAGTTCTGTTTGTTCACTTGATTTTATGCCCGAGGTGCCTACTGATTTTGCTTGATGTTCTCAAGACACTTTTTGCTTGGGAATTTTTGGTTTCGGGGCCACACTGATGATGCTCAGAGCTTATTCATAACTCTGTACTCAGGGATCACATCTGGCAGTGCTCTGGGGACCATGTGGTGATGGGACTTGAACCAGGGTTGCCATGTGCAAGGCAAGTGCCTTGCCCCTTGTGCTATCTCTCCTGCTCATGGAGAGCCTTTTTATTCTCTGAATCCTTCTCAACAAGTTTTGGAAATTGACTGGAACTAAACAAGGAAGAACAAAATTGCAGACCATTTGCCTTATTTTTTCAAGGATCCTTTTCTATTGTCAATTCATATTTATTTAAGGATTTTGATTTTGTTTTGAGTATTTGCTCATTCTCTAAAGAAGGACAAAGAATAGCATAAAAATTATAACTGAAAAATGATTCATTTTTACCTTTTGCTCTTTTTGTTATACAATGGCATGTGCCAGCTCTTATAATATTTGTTTAATGAACATGAAATAACACAAGACCATCAACTGGAACCAATTTTGTAACATTCAAAAGACATTAGCAACATTATGATGAACTTGGGAGAGAGAACAACGTTTAATAATTCCAACATTCCAAGAGAATACAATTGTGTTAGAAGACAAATCAAACAAGTGTTCTGCTAGAGGCTTCTCAGTAATTAAGAAATAGACTAAAACCTTCTATCATTAATTTATTAATTTAAACATGTACCAACACTATTCTACGTGCTAGAGATATAATAGTGAACAGAATAGATTAAGAGCCTTTTCTTTCTGGATGCATATCCTTGGCTGTCCTTGAAAATTCTAGTTGAAATTGATATTGAAGAAATGCACTAAAAACGCATTCTAGGGCCAGAGAGTTAGTACCAGGGGTTCAGCTATTTGCCTTGCGTGCCTTTCAATCCAGTTAGATCTCCAGCACAGCATATGTTCCCCCAAGTACCACCAAGAGTGACCCATGTGCTGGATGTGGTCCCCATACAAAACCAAACAAAAACACATTGTGTAAGTTCCTCAACCAGTGCTGAATCTTTTACCTAGACATTTTTTCTCACGAGGAGAGCCTCATTTCCATCCATCAAAGTGGACCTTTTTTTTTCTGACCCACTGCAAAGCTACAGCAAACAATGTAGAAAATAGAAATCTTACCATTAATAAATATATAGATTGAAGATTCAATTCTCCTCTTCTTTGAAGCAGGAATAGATAGATATTTGCAGCTATAGAAGCCAGTGTGGTTTGCCTGAGCCATGTTCAAGGTCAGAGTACTGCAGAACTGTTTGCTGTTCCTTCCACAGACAGAATCACTTATGCTCAGCCTCTTGCTCTCCCTGTTCACTGTTTCAGGCAGAGACCAGGAATGGGCTGCATCTCCCCTGCAACCACAGAGAAGAAATCAGAGCACAGCTCCAGAAGACCAGCTCCTCACTAGAACTGCAGGTCAACACTCTGCAGAGGTCCGTTCTTCAAACATAATCATCTTCTCTACAGAAAAACAAGACCTTTGGAAGTTTTCAAACTCAGGAAAGAGATATCAAAATGTTCCAGGGTTTCCCTTCCCGTTTTATTTCCTTTTGAGCAAGTAATTTTTTTCGTTAGTGATGCATTCTCTGTGTGAAGCTCCAAGCTGCGTACATGTGGCCTGGACTTCGCAGATACACTGGAAGTCTCTACCTTGCTACAGGAGAGACGAGCTTTCCCACTCTGCCCAGCAAAGCTGACACCCTAGGAAGGGCAATCGGGTATCATCAGAACACCATCACTCACCTGCATTTGAGATACAGGGTCTGGCCTGCTTGGAGAACGTGCTGGCTGCTTCTGAAACTCAGTTCAGGACCTTTCAATTTTGAGCCTGAACTAGATCCTGCAAAACAAACAATTTTAAATGTAAGGAGTGAGTATATCTATATCAAATTCTCTTAATTCACAGTATATTCTAATCCAAACCTTCTTCATTATGATGATATATCCTAGTATACCAAATGACCTTAAGCAGTGTTTCTCAACTACTTTCCAATCATGATGCCCTTCTGACCTGATTTTCTTCCTATTTTTTTACCTTGTGCTCGGGGATCATATGCGGGTGGTGGACAATCAAACTCAGGTCAGCTGTGTGCAAGGCAAGTGCTCTACCTACCCAAAGTACTCTCTCTTCAGCCCCAACTATTTCTATCATCCTAATCAGGTAATCTGGTCATTAAGAACCTGTCAGATTCTTTTCCTGTATACAGAGTATAGAAATTTTCCTGGTTCTATGCATAGTTTAGTCATTGGTTGAACCATGTTATTTTTGGGTAAATCGTTTCTCTTCCAGACGTAGTTTCCTCACTTGAAAAACTAACTTTAGAATCCCAATAAGTTTTAAGAGCCATTTGGTTTGTCTTGCATAATTTCTAAAATTCTCTTTGTGATGGAATAGAAAAAGGGGAATTGTTGGCTTCTACATGACATTTGACAAGTATATGCCAGGGAAATTGTTGTGAAACAATAAAATAAACGATGAAAAAAAAGCTTTAAAATCTATGCCCCTCTAGACAATACAAAATTATATCCATTCTAATAACTAGCTGTGTAGTACCAGAGAAATTGTTCCTCTCTCCAGACCTCAGTCTTTTTCTCAAACACAAAACGTTAGAATATATGAGCTTGGATTTCTCACACACCATTACTGACCTCATTCTCAAGTGATTCCTTGAGCTACTGGTGCTACAGAGGTAAAGCCTATTCTGCAGCTCTCTGGACAAATCAGAATAGACCTATCTTCCACTCCCATTTCTCCCTGTCCTGCTCCTCATCCCTTCCCGGGGAGGCAGCTGAATTGCCTGGAGATATGGGGCCCAGGATTAGTAGGGAGAAGAGTCAGGAGGAGGAAAGAAAGATATGCTCAAAGGAAAAAACTGTTAACAGTTGAGCTCCAATCTCAGAGAATACTTTTCACATAGAAATACGTGTATACAGGAAATTCAGCGTAGCAATGTAAGCCCAACGGGCCTCTTGGTTTTCATGTAGTTCACAGACCTGTGAGACAAGACAGATCTGTCAGATTTCTTGTATAAGTCTAGCAGTGCTCTCTAGTGTTTTGCGTGGGTCCTAATATTTCACAGAAAACTAGACTTAGCTCAAAGATCTGCATTTGAAGGCTAGCTTCTCCATTGCCTAACTACAAGGCCATGGACATTACTTAATGAGTTGCTCCTTAGTCTCCTCATGTGCAAAGCTGACCCTCCCCTCCCCCATCCTCTTCACAAACATGTTGCATGCCATGGACTTCTAGCATGCAGAATAGTCTGCCAACTATATGTTGACAGTGTTTCATGTAACACTGCCTGCTTTTCTAGTATTGTTGGTGATAAAAGTATTCAGTAAATATTTGTAAATATATATATGTAACTTTATATACAATGGATCCGATATTAATTTTGCTTTTTTGTTGTTGTTGTTTTGGGACCACACCTGGAAGTGTGCAGGATTTACTCCTAGTTCTGTGCTTAGGGATCACTTCTGGTGGGTTTGAGGGATCATATAGGGTGCTGGGAAACAAACTGGGCAGGTCGTGTGCAAGGCAAATGCATCACAGTACTATAGCTCCAGTCCCTCAGTATTAATTAACTTAAATGAAAATCAATGAATTCTTTCACAGAAAGAATTAGGGGGCTCTCAATTATCTTCTCCAATTATCTCCATCATTTTAACCTGTTCAAGTACCCAGGAAACCATTCTGTACCTACTCATCTTTATGAGCTTGCTGAGGCAATATGTCACTGAAAATCAGTGAGCCATAGGGACATACAGTTTTTCTAAAACTACAAGGAGCAGCTCATAACAACTTACCCTAAAACGTTTCTCTGTCAGAGTTCAGAGAGATAGCACAGTGGTTAGGGTGCTTGCCTTGCAAGCAGCCAAGCCAGGTTTGATCCCTGTCACCCCATAGGGTCCCCCAAGTCCTGCTAGAAGTGATCCCTGAACACAGAGCCTGGAGTAAGTCAGGTATCACCAGGTGTGGCCCCAAACAAACAACAAAACAAATTCCTAGCCAAAACAGTTTTAGTCCATATTTATACCATAGAACTAGAGATTCAGTTGAGCAAGTGATCATGCTCCAAAATAAAAAGTTAAGAGGAAATAAAAAAAGACCCAGTGAAGTTTCCTATCTATAATGCTGTCATTGCTTGCCATATCTTCACTGCGCATGGCACGGATTAGCTTTTTCCTTCAGGAGATGCACAGAAAGAAGCCTCCTTTCTTCGGTATGAGGTGACTCATGCTGATTGTTACTTTGGTTTTCACGCCGTAAGAGTTCTTTTTAAAAAAAATCAGCAATGCTAGAACAACAGTGCTCCTGATCCCAAACCTCTGAAACCACCATAACCTCAGCTGAGAAGTGTTCTGCAGAGCTGTATAAAGAAAACACCTTCTGCATGCTCGTCTCTGCTCCCACCACCTTCCAACCCGCGGAAGACATCCTGAGGGGTTAAATAAGATGCTAAGGATATAAATGAGATCTAGGGGCAAGTGGAGAAGAAAATGTTAGGGGGAAATTGGTTTGCTGTAGAATCTGTCATCACTAACGTCAAGTTTTTGCACTTGGAACGAGAAAGCTAGATCAAAGTATTAATTAAAATGAAGGAGAGAAGTATAAGAAAACTGCACTTCCAAGTAACTAGACCTTTTGAGTTATCACTCTTCTTCGGTTAATAGGAAACGAGGATCTCATAAAGATTAACAGGGACGCCAAGACATCAAGTTAACAGGAAAGCTAATAAGGAAAAGAGAAAGCGAAATAGTTATCCCTCAAATGCATGGGTCTTAAAACGTATCTCTGAGGCAGGTTTTTATGTTGGGCCATACACCTAGTTGGGTTATGACAGCTTAACTAATATCTTTTTTGCACACCACAGTCTGTCAGCTACCTTCTCCATCTCTGGGGTGCATGGATGTACAAAGGTACACCACATGTGTGTACAATGTGAAATTCACTTTGCTCTACCTAGTGAGAAACTCAGACTCACATTATTTAGAAAGAAATCCACAGGATACTTCACTTCCAGGGTGGAGTGTTTTATTTAACAATGACCCTCCCTATCCCCCACTGTGAAGTTCAGATGGGAACCAAAACTTTCCACTACTTCCCAGTAGCCTAAAAGTCTGGTTTAAAAAAATGACAGTCCCCTCTGTGAAATAGGTGGGCTGGAACTATTGTTCTCATCAAAGTCAACTACATTAAAATCGCGAGGGACAAACAGATCTCCTTATAGAGGGAAATTATTATTTAAATAAAACAAAAAATTCAATGCCAGCCATGGAATTGGCCTCATCACACCCTTCTTTGTTCAAACAACAACAACAACAAACAAATCTGTAAGATCAAGCACTGTGGGCTCAGAGCATTCAACACCCCACAAGGCTACGTGGGCTTCTGCGAAACCCTTGCATTGTTATTGTCCAGATATTTTCTTCATTGCTTGTCAATCCTGGATTCTCTGGCAGGTAGAGAGAGAAGAGAATTTTGTGACTCCTTCACAAAATTCCCTTGTCTCCCTACATACCAATCTCCTTGAAAGTCCAACCACAATCTCTGTAAAGTCCTCTCTCTCCCCTACCTCACCTTCTTAGGCAAAATGAAATGCTTTTTTGGTGAAGAGAAGAGTAAGAGGAATTTGCAATAATGTTTGCCTTTATTTTGCAATCAGATTCAGAGTTCTCCAGATTAGGGTCTTTGCTTCAATGCTACCAACCATACCAGAAATAACAGCAGGTTTCCTCAGCAGATCCTGCATCAGTCAGCCTTCCAGGCCACTCTTTTGACTGAAACAGAATCTCAGACAAGGTTTCCCTAAAAGTATCTTTACATGACCGTCCTTTTTACTGATCGTAGTTAAAAGTGTTCTTACAAGTTGAATACAATTCTAAACCCTTGGTTCCTGCTCCTTCTCATGTCCCCCTTAATGTCAGATTCTGTAAGAAATACAGAGGGGCATTATTGAAATATAAATCATAAAACAACTAAGTTATTCCATTTTTTCCTTAGTCATTAATCCCCCTGCCTCCAGACCTGCTAACAAGTAATTCTGTGGTGACTAAACAAATCACCATAAGCCTCAGACTATTTCTCTGCCAACAGAGTAGGCTCGGCTTAGAGTTCTATGATCTCTTCCAAATAAAGAATTCTGTGCTTCTGAGATCACAGTACTAGAAAGCTCAGTATTAGAAAGCTGAGGTCACAAGTCAGAAAGCTCATTTTATAAAATACCATGACTATGAGCTGGAGATATAGTACAGTAGGTAGTGTGCTTGCCTTGCACACAGCCAACCAGGTTCAATCTTAGAAATCCCATATGGTCCCTTGAGCACATCCAGGAGTGATTCTTGAGCACACAGCCAGGAATGACCTCTGAGCTTCTCCGGTGTGACTCAAAAACTAAACAAAACAACAACAACAAAAACCAACCCAAAACCCTATGAGTAGGGGCTGGAGACATAGTACAGCGAATAAGGCACTTGCTTTGCGTGAGGCTGCCCCACATTTGATCCCCTGCAACCCATATGGTCTCCCTTGCTCGCCAGGAGTGATCCCTAAACTCAGAGCCAGGTGTAAGCCCTGAGCACTGCCGAGTATGGCCTCAAAACAAAAACAACAACAACAAAACATTCGATAAATAAAAAATAGTTACGATGAATAAAAAAAGACAAATTACTCCAAAAAATGTTAGAAAATACTAATCAAAATCACTTCACACCAACAAGGATGACTTAAGTAAAAAAGATAATAACAAGGATTGCTGAGGATGAAGAGAAATTGGAACCCTTTCACATTGCTAGTAGGACTGTAAAATGTGCCATCACTTTGACCTTTGCTTGGGGTCA